CGCTCGGCCGGCCGGGTTTCTCGCCGCAGCCGCCGCGCCGCTGCCGGATGGGCTCGAGGGTTACCGCGGGCCCGCCGCCGCCGCCTCTTCTCCTGGCATCGCTGACTTTTCTTTTTCCCGACGAGAAGAGGATCGTCTCAAACGAGCGACTCGCAAAAGTCACTTTTTCATTGGGTTGGACTCATTGAACGCAAATCGTTGCATTGGGCTGACCATTATTTTAGCGCAAAAGGGGCCGCGGGGCTCTCTTTGTGGGTGCCCCGCTTTTGGAATCGAGTCAAAAGTCTCTTGACGTCCCTTCGCGCCGCCGTAATGCTGGAAGGGAAGCGCTAGAATTGATGTCGTTGAGCAAAATCAACAAACTGTTTTACGACTAAAACTATGTGTAAAGATACACTTGAACTCTGGATATCTTAAGTCAGTGACTGGATTATTGTGATTGGAGAAGCGTGCGATAATTGGAATACATTCAAATTCAAATCACACACAATGAGTGATTAGCCATATTTTTCAGATGATAAGACGCTACAAAACCTTTGAACCGTGCGGCTCTTCAAGCGATGAACATTCTGTAACTGGAACTGCATCTACTCAGCCCTTGGGGTCCATTCAAAGCTGAAAGCAACATTTGGCTCCATTTTTGCCGTGCGCGGGCATTGACGCTGGACGAGGGTTGTTTTTGCGTTTGTCAGCCAGGTGGCGCCGTTATTTGCGCTCCGTTCAAAACATGAGGCAAGATTTGCCACGCGTTCCCGTTGACCCTCAAGGCTCTTTTGCAACTTGAGGTGGTGCGGCCATTGATGTCTGACAATGGAGGGGGGGGGGGCATTTCTTCTCCCTTTAAGGATGCAGCTCATTTCACCACCACTTCACTCAGTTTACCGTCCGCCGTGTGGGCGACTCCAAAAAGTTGTGCTCTTGATATCGGACAACGGCGTGTTTGTTGAGTTGGTCTCCATTGAAAGCATGCAGCAAGACTACAAACCAGAAGGGAACTTGCGGATCCAGAAATGTCGTGTTCCTTCCAAGAATGGAACGGTACCCACAGCAAAAACAAAAACCAGGACTCCGCCTTACTCACCTTCAGGTCTCGGTGCACAACGCCCATTTGATGACAGTGAAGCACGGCTTCCAGGATCTGCTGGATGCAGTGGCTGCATGCAAAACACACACACACACACACACACACACACACACACACACACACACACACACACAAAAAAACCCTTCTAGCACAGATTTAAGTGTGTCAAGCATCAAGCAGCGAGTGACGGCGACACGTTGTGATGGAGAAGAGTTGCGGGAGTGCGGCGGGCGAGTGTGCGATTCAGACTAATTAGCAGCGCTAATGAAAGTCCCACTTCCCGCCGGTCTCCAAAGGGAGCGGGCGGCAGGCGCCGAGGGAAGCGGCCTTGATGCCTGACATTCAAAGATGACATTTGATTGAAAAGCTCAAATGACAACCGGCGAGCGAGCCGGTTGTCATTTGGCTCCGCGGATATTTGCGCGCTTTCAACAATTTCAATGTTCAAACACTGTTCGTGTGTTCGGATACGATGAGAATGTTCAGACTCCGTCTGACTTTCGGAGGGGCGAACGCTGTCACGCGTCGGGGTTCGGGGAGGTGCCAGTTGCTCGTCGTTTGAGCTTTCAAATGTTTTTACGTGGGGCTGTTTTTTTTCGACTGTTTGCATTTTCCACATTGCTGTCTGTGTTTTGAGATGACAGCGTTTTCAAAAGTTTGCTGTTTGCAATTCCGGATGGTCGCATTTTCGGACAGAAGTGTTTTTGGGGCATTTGCTTTTTTCAATTTGAAGCTTTTGTGAGACGATAAAACATCCGAATCCGAGAGGAGAGACAACGCGGACCTGCTCGTCTGCTTCCGGCGCGAGGCGAACCTCAATAAAACAAAGACGTTAAGTGGAAAGAGCGCTCCGTCTTCATTAAACCTAATGGAGCGGACTCACGACACTAAGTGAGCTTTAATAAGTCCGATGCGCACGAATCAACGGTGCGGCTTTCCCCTCTCGCCGCCACGCGATTTAACTTAGCAGAAGAGAATACGCAGTTCCAGATTGGCCTTCAGAACTCGGAGCGCATTGATCACAAAATGGCAAGTAGCGGCCATCTTATTTCAACAACGTCGGGGCTTTTTTTAATCTTCTTCACTTTCGCTGGATTTGAATGCTGAAGTGTCACATTCGGGCGCTCGTACCTGCGCCGACTGTCTGTTAAGTGGTTGGAGTGACCAGTCTGCCAGTGAGTCGGCGCGATCGAGAAAGCTGCATGGGTGCGGGTGGAGAAGAGGAAGCAAACCGAAACGTAGACATTTTTTTCCTTTTTTTTGGTGGTGGTGGGGGGGGGGGGCGAGAGAGACCACCTCCTGACTAATAGAAAAGAAGTAGAGTGGAGCCACGAGATAAGAAATGAGCCACCCTTGGGGGGGTGTTAGCGCAAGGAGCACTTTGGAAGATGGCAAAGAACTGTTCCAAAAAGAGGCTGGGAGCCATTTCTTGCTCCCAGGTGACGTTTGCCGTCAACACCAAAGTAACGTGTCAGAGAGCGTCCCTCCCTACCTGGCGTCGGCCTCACTGTAGTACTCTCGGGCTACGATGTCCTCAAATAATTCACCTCCGGTCACCCTGCGGAGCGACACACACATTTGAATCCACCGATTTCTTTCTTCATCCCCGTCCCCGACCTACACGGTCACCATGGAAACGAGATGGGGTTCACACAGAGATGGATGCGGATGGCGTGGGAGCGCCCGCGCAAAAGATTTGTGGAATTGTTTCGGAGGGAAAAGGGGGGGGGGGGCAGAAACCAGAGCAGAGGACGGCGACGAGGACATGAGGAGGAGAAGCGGAAACAATGACAGGAAACCAGCGCAGATGAAATAAGAAGAACCGCAGAGGAAACGGGAGCAGGCCACGTGGGGGAAGCAACGACAAGAGGCGAAAAAAGACACGGCGAAGATGGAACGACTGCCAACAAGAGAAGACGATACGCTCCCATGGCTTGCCAGAGACTTACAAGTCAAAGAGCAGATAGTGGAAGCCCTCCTCGGAGATGCTGTCATGAAGACGAACTGCAACGGCACACAAATAAATACACGCGCTGGTGAGCGGCGCCAACAACAATTTGCCCACTGGTGGTTTGCGTCCTCACCGATGTTGGCGTGTTTGAGCAGGCGGCAGATGCGAGCCTCTCGTTCCAGCTTCTGGTGATCTGACGGATGACGTGCAACAAAGTCACAACGGAGCAGAAAAAGAGAAGGAATCAAAGCAAAAAGCCTTGGAATCAGGGCAACGAGAATCCGGCACACCGTTTGAACAGAATGCTGAGCGGTGGCCTCCCGCCGCGGCTGTCAATCAAATACAAGCCCCGCCTCTTTCCAACCCTTTACGTTTTCCACATTGCGCATTTGGCTTTTGCTGCGATGCAAGCCGAAGAAGAAAATGGGACTTCAAAGTAGGGCGGCGTGCTCGTTTTGTGTACAGGGTTTTGTTTTTTTTTTTTTTTTACGTATTTCGATTGTCAAAAGCTCTCCATCGGTGGTTCGTAACCTGGGTTCGATCGAATCCCAGGGGGTCGGTGAATCAGTCTCAGGGGTTCGACGGAGCCTCTGCCACGCAGGATAAGACGCACCCGACTCAACGTGACACACTCACTTGGCCGCCACTGCCTGGATCATCTTGTGCACAATTCAAAAATGGATACTTTGTACTTGTTTCTGGTTTTAATAAATGTGTTGGTAAAAAAGCATATTTTTATTTTTCACTCATGAAGGGTTCGGTGAATGTGCATCTGAACTGGTTGGGTTCGGTACCTCTAAAAAGGTTAAGAACCGCTGCTCGATACGGAATAGTACTTATGATGACAAAAAAAAAAGCAGTCAAATGAAATGAAACGCTCTCCCGCTGAAATGCTCGGCACCGAATTTTAAAACCATGAAAATTCTGATCGATGAGTGAATTTCCCTCGATCGAGCACGACCACGAAGCAAGATTGACGTCAACGCTAAAGAATGATGGCGCGATTTCACGCGGAGACTCAAGGAGCCAATCACAGGGGATTAGCCGTTAGCCCCCCGCTAATAGCGGCCGGATAATCGGGGATGGATTTAAGCTCATTAAAAGACGCTTGCTGCGCTGACGGGGGGGGGGGGGGGAAGAGGAAACACGC